GTTCGTATCCCCGTCCCACCAAACATGCTCGCCCTTTCAGCCGTGGGGGCGTTATAATGTGACGGTCAATCCCACTATTCGTTGGTAAAAGAGTAGCCCAAGAGTGGCGGTGGGTGGTGAAGTGACTAGCGGTGTCCGTTCCCTCTAGTCTTACACTGCTAAATTAGGGACGGCTAGCGCAGATAGCCCTCGTGTAGCTTTGCGCGAAATTCAAAACTGTTTGGAGTAGTGTGACAGATGATTCTTTTTTTTTAATGAAAGTTTTTGTTCACTAAATCTGAGACTAAATTTATGTGTTGTTTATTTATTCATATATTCATACAAAAGTACTTACAATCATGTCAGTGTGCTCAGTATTTACATATAAAACAATGAGTTACAGATTATACGTAAATATTTCAACAAATAAACTCAATCAGCTCTCTTTACAGTATCTTAACGATTGGATTTGAAGAAACATTGTTATTGTCATGTATAGATGGTTACTTGAAAATATTAAAACACTAAATTCTATGAATAGTTGCATTATTTATGGTTTAAAACAGCCTTCAATTCTGTAATAAAAAACAGTTTATACATATCAAAATATACATAACTTTTCAAATAACTTGGATGATATGTTTAAATTATTCTTAGTACACATTTTATATTTATTCGTTATTTTATAAATACAGTCTCTAATTAGGTAATTATTTTATGAGTGTGTGTGTTTTATAGCAAAGTCACAGCGCGCTATCTGCTGTGTCCACCGAGGGTAGTCGAACCCCTGATTTTAGCGTTGTAAATCCGTAGACTTACCGTTGTCCCATCGGAGGCAATTATTTTATAATACATTTGGAGATTTTGCTTATTACGTTTTCTAGAACACAGTAAAAACGACCGTTTAAAATAACTAGAAGGAATATGATAAAGCTCTTATATTCAGTCTTAACTACGAGGAATAATTTCTTATGTATCAATATGAATCCTCAAACAATACATTACTTGTAAGTATTATTTTATACACTAAAAGGCCTAGATGATTTATTCTGAAGATTTTAATACAGTTTTCTAAACTACTTATGCACTCAAATTGCTTGTGGGTCCATGAATTTTTACAGGGTCCCTAATAACATATGGATCATACAAAAAAAACCATTAGTATCCTATACTATTACTGCTAGGGTCCGCTATGTATTTTAAATATAAAATGAATGAATTCACTTAATTATTTGGTCAGTTCTTTACACTAACAGGAAAAAACTTAAAAGTTACTCCTATCGGTAGTGAGAGGTATGAAAACAAGTCTGTAATTTCAAGGTAAATAATGAGATGATTAAATGATTACAAGACAAACACTATTGTTTACAAACAACTTTTTTTATTTTATAAGATTACATCAAAGATGGATTATACGAATTAACAGTAAATAAACACAGTGAAGAGGTGAGGGCTACAATATTAGTAAAATAGGAAATATAATTGACAGGAAAATATGTACAATAGGCATAAAACATGAACGCAATTTAAAATCTATGAGTAATTGTTACTATTATAATGCTAGGAGTATTAGAAATAAAACTGATGAGTTCAAAGCAGTTGTGGAAATTGAGGATTTTGATAATATGGGTATCACTGAAACATGGTTGGATTTGAACAATTTTGATGAGAGGATTTTTTTTTAAATACCAGGCTACAGAGTATTTAATAGAGAAAGAGTATTGAAAAAAGGGGAAGGGGTAGCTTTATATATATAGGAGTGGACTGCATCCTGTTCAGTTGGAGCATATTAAAGAAAATAGCACT